CTCATTTTTTAGCGCTGACATCATTTGCTCAGCGGTGAAAGAAAACATGTTAAATCATCAGTATATTGAATATCACCATATTATCGAAACAGTAAAATAAAAAATACTTCGGTTAAGTTAAGAGGTCATGGTCTACAATCCGCAGAGAAATCGCGTGATAGACTATGCCCTAATACCCTACAGAGGAGGCATTTGCCCAGCAGACATAATTATACTACTTTACTTTCAAAGTCACAATTTCTTTATTCAATACATGAAGTAGCATTCAATATAGGTAGGGGGTCTTGCAAGTGCAGAGCCAGCGTCATTTCCCCACATCCTTGTCCTCAACGTATTCTTCGACATTATAATAGGCCCATGCCATTAGGTAGTTTTTACAGAATGTTTGAAATTATTTACCATTGACATCTGCGATATCTGGGAGCTACGACGTCGTTGATTCGTAGAAAACCTTTTATAAAATGGGGCCCTGATTTCGCGATTTGACAACACGCGAAAAAGTAATAATTCCATTTTACGGTGGTTTCCTGCGAGTCTGCCCAATTTTGCAACAGCAGTAACTGCTTCGCGGCCCTAACTCAGAATGTTTTTTATGGTTGGCAAACGAGCTGACCGTTCACCTGGTATAATAACGAGTGATAACCGCCGCCCATTGACATATGCAACACCCCTAGGGTGGCAAATACCTTGCCACCTTATTATAAAGCAGACCCCGGCTGCCTCACTCAACACACGAAACGCAGAGGTACACTTGCACTTCACGCACAAGGTCGTGGTACTCACCCGGACGGACCTGCCCATCCGTGCAACTGAGAACACTGTTGCGTGGCACTACCACAGCAAAGTGTGTACGTACATTTACCTACATTTCTTAATCTTTCTTCGATTTGCTGTTATTTTGATGACTCGGCGGCGCTGGTTCTTAGCAATTGGTTTTGGCGCCGTGGGTCGTTGCTTCGATTCCCGAACGGGAGAAGTACTTGTTTGACCCACAGATACATAAATATTTCTAAGGAGGCGGCCGTCAAATGTTGCTTAGATTAGCAAAACCATTTACAACATGAACGTTTTTGTTCCGATCCCACCTGGTTAGTAGCGACAAAGGCAGGGCGAAGCGGATAATGATAACTGATGATATATATATTATTAAACGATATTTCATTTTATCGCTTACTACTAATGAGTAACTACGAATAAAAAACAAATGTTTGACCATTAACAATTGAAGTAATTATACGCTGCCAATAGACATTTGCAACACCCGTAGCAGTTGCAGATGACTTGCGATGACCTATAAATTAAGTGCGCCCCGGCTACCTCACTCACCGGCCGAAACGAAGAAGTACACGTGGAACAAAGAGGACTGACAACACAGATTATTTAAAACTAGCTTAATTTTTATATTTTGCTTGTACTCAGCTAAATGTCTGGCCAATTTAACAATGAACACTTTTAGCAGTCCTCTAGAATTTATAACTAAAAATAATAATAAGGCAAGTACAAGGATAACGGATAAATTAAACCATCAATATTTTAATATATAATAACTATTTATGTAAGTATATAAACATTACATCGATAAGAAAAAAATAATTCATTTACCTAACTCACAAAAGAAAGAAAATAATAATTAATAATAATAATAATATTCCTTAAAAACAACATACAACCTCACACTACACATTTTTTTAATGATTAAATTAAAAAAAAAAACATTTAAATTATTTTAATCTGTTATGTTTCATATTTACTTTTTTTAAAAATGTCACAGATCCACATCGGCTTTCGTCATCGACGCAATCTATTCACTCTCGATCGGTTTACGCTAATTCTCTTAAGGCTAATCTTTTTTTTTTCTCCATTTATTTATTTAACGCTGCGTTTTATTTTACAATTTTTGGGTCCGTTTAGTGTAAATTTCGCTAAAAATCGATACGTACATTATTCTCAATTCGCACTCTTTCCCGCCAAAGCAATCCACTTCGGCGGGAAAGAGCAGCGAATTCATTTTATATACACATCACCTTAATACAAAGTTGAACGGTTAATTTTGATTGCCTCCGAGATTTCTAATACATTTAAGAGGTATGAAATGCTACCGGTTTCCCACTAAAAGAACCCAAACTTGCGCAGTAACTTAAATACTACCTCACCGAATCTCGCTAAGAAATATTACTAATTTATACAGATTTTTCCATACACCCCGAGAAGAAAGTAAAGTACCTAAGCTACATTAATAAAGTTACAAGAGTGAAAAATAAAAAAAAATATCTATGACGACGCAATCTATCTCGGTATAAAACCTCTCGTCCGATAATTTAAAAAAAACGTTTCAATTACAAATATTGGCGCGCGCGCTCCGGACCGTCGCAGCGGGAATAAATATAAATACTAGTTTATTTACTTTTTCTTTTTAACAATCGCGTCGCTTCCGGAACGCGCACGGCCGTCTAAAACTCCTTAAAGATCTTTGCCTATACTTTTTTTTCAACGATCGGGATAAATGCGGACTCCGGAACGTCCGTGATGAGTCGGAATCGTGCGGCCTTTGAAATGACGCCAAGGCGTACACGTCATGGTTTTTCCGCGTAACAAACTTACGCTGTTCCGAAACAACTCACCTATTGGACAGGCACGTGTGGGGCCGTAGCCAACGGAGGGGCGAATTGAAAGCACTCCAGACATCCACTCCACAGTTAAAAACTATCGGAAATAATCTAAACCGGCTAGAGGACAAAACACACGTAGTACGAGCTGTGAGTCGCGAAATAAAACAACGAAAATTCCATGTATTTTTCTGTTATAAACAACAATTGTTTTTATAAATATCATTAAAAACTCATCTGTTTCTGAACACGTTCCAAAGACAACGGGAGAAGCGTGTCCCTTGACAAAGGGAGATTAAAACATACTTGACGTTAACCGATTATAAAAAAGAAGACATTCATTACTTCTAACATATAAACGTTCTTCGCTGCTACACAAAATGCCAGTTGCCACTGAACGTGGCTTAACTTTATCTGTCACAATCCCTTAGGTGGAAATTCGACAAATCTTAGCTGTTGCAATTTTCCAAACAAACGAGAAAGTCACTAAATAAACTATACGTTTATGATCGGCTCTGTTATAGAATTAGAAGTTCATATTTTTTTGATCTACTACTTAAGCTGGCTTTTCACTAAGGAACGTTACATATAATAATTATTTACAGTCACATGTTTTTGCCCTTTTAATACGCGTCGATTACGGGCAAACATACACATTATGACACAGTTCGCATTATGTTATAGTACGTCCGTGTGAAAAGGTCTTTAATATCTTTTGCTATGCTATATAAGCGGTTTAAAATTAAAATATAATATTTTCCATTCCATCAATCGAAAAGAATTCGAAATATATCAAAAGCTGCTTTAGAGTTACCCCACAATATGACACCGTGACCGATTAAATTACATACCGAAATATAACACGTTCTAAAACCAGCAGTGAAAAGCCATCTTATTCGCTCAGACGTTGACGGCCATATTGGCGGCAACTGTCACTGTCAAATTTGTTAGTATCTGTTTATGAAAATGGCGCCATTACGAAAAACCAACGATAAAAAAAAGAAAAAAATACAAATCTAGGAACATTAGAGCTTAAAACAAAACGTACGCTAAATAATATAAGGAAAACCTGGATATTTAGGTTTGATTATTCCATTTTTCGCTTCCGATGTTTTCTACGTGGGCAATGCATTACAATTATAAATACATATATTTATATTAAAAAATTAAATATTCGCTCCGATAGTACTTACTAGAATACTCGAGAGATCGAAGGAAGAAAACTTTCGACACTGCAAAATGTCAAGTGTCTTAAACGGTGCTTGAAAATACACCTTTTTACATTTTATTTTATTTTCGTATTGCACAAACTTGCTCTCGAATGTGGACTAACGCTCATTTCGCTATTATTTTGCGGGGGGGGGGGGGGGGGGGGGGGGGGGGAAAGATCGATTATTAAATACCATATCAATGAGAGACACAACAATCACATCATTAAATAATAACATTTAAAAACGAGCTTCACAGATAAATAACAAATGTAATCTGTCATTAAACTTCGCTACGTTCACATTTCACGAATGATGGCTCCAAGAGTCAAATCCCTGTCCTAGGCGTTGGATATCGGCAAAATAAAAATTATCCCCACGACACACAAGACAGTTATAGTTTTATTCGAAATAAAAATTAGTACTGCTAGAATATATAATAAAATAGTGCATATAAACATCGCTAATTAAAAAGAAAACTCTTTTTTCATTTTAATTCACGTCACTACCTAACGCTATGCGGTCTCTTAAGCGACGGTTTTTATGACAATCGAAATTGACAATCGCATGTTTCGCAGGAGAAACACAACTGCGTTTACAAAAATTGCCAAATAAATAAAATCTTAATGCGAGGTTAGAACTATAGGTATTTGAAAATGTCAGATATAGTGTCAATAAAGACTAAGATTGTAACTATGGTTGTCCAGCTGTATTTTCTACATATTTTAATATGGTTGTCCATTTAAAAAAGGCTTAAATATTTTGCATAGCAAAGTTGCAATTGCCTTTTTTTTCTAATAAATTTCTCCAAAAATTTCCCGACACAAAACCACAGACCGCGTGCCCGAATAGTGTTGTTCCATCCGTATATCGAGTGTCACAAAAAGACCGTATCAAAAGAGAACCGGTAGCGCCAACCATGTACCGGACAGGCAACATTACTGTAGATCGAGCACGAACAGCTAAAGACGCTAGAGGGAGTACTCCAGCATCAGATCGCCGCCGAACCATCAAAGGCCCTGAGATCGTTAATACTTGAGGAACTAGAAGGAAACAATAACGAAACGGCAGACATGTGCGGCGCACACGACAGAGACAGAAGACGTGGTGGAGGGGGGAGAATAAAACTCAAGGCGCGGGCGGCGATCGGGTCAGTGCGCGTCCGGCGGTCGTCGCGCGCGGCTCACTGCATGAAGTAGTCCGGGTGGTCGGGGTCCTTTTCGAAGCGCTTCGCCTCCTCCTGCATGCTCTCCTTGATCTTCAGGATCGCCGCCGACTCGGTCTGGTCGCTCTGGTCGCCGCCGGGGCCCCCGAAACCTAAGGGGGGAAAGCCGCGTTGTTTGGGGGGGAGGGGGGCGGTCGCAATCGAAGCCGGGTCTTTGGCCAACAGCACACGAGCCGTCAACGCGCAACTTTCCCGAATGGCAACGGCGCTTGCACTCTGAGATTTGAATGTCTGATAAGTTTTAAGAGATATGTTTTTTTAGATTTCTCGGTGGTTGTTGTATGTGAATCGCCACCTTGGAATCGCACGATAAAGGTCATCATACTACAATGAACTCTACCGTACCATAGACACACACACTAAATAATTTACTGATAATGACACGGTTCCATATAAAATGTAGTCCGAGCGGCTCGTGTACTGCCGGCCCTAGTGGTGTAGACATCATCGTAATGAAACCAAATTGAGGAGCGACGCTTGTTATACTCGTCAAGTCCGTGGTGGCATTAGATTATTATTTGAACGGGTACTTACTTAAGTTATAATCCCCCATCCCCGAACCCGAGTCCTCCCTCGGCGTGCCCGGGCCACCTCCACCGACCCCACCCGGCGATGACTTCATGCCGTCCACACCGCCTAACCCTGGCAGCGAGAACTCACAGTACAATACACGCCTGACAGGGTTCACATTCAACCTAGCGTCGGCTTATCCGGTTGCGGAAGGACCATAAACGGAAGGGATCATTTTGACAGTTTAAGCAGAACTGACCGATCCAGTTTGTGTCAAACCGTAATGTGCAATGTATTATAGACAATACTTTGATATAAGAATTAATATTTTACTGATAACGGGAGAATCCACAAAAATCGGTTGTTCGTAGTGATGGGAAAGAACATTTTTGCTATATCATAACGAGTGAGATGCGGGGTTAATTAATTAAGATACCATAACAATTTGATGGAACTATGTGATGATTCAAGTGGTATTAGTATATCTATATAAATGGATGTGGTATTCTTTAGTTTCTTCACTTTGTAAACAGTAGGTGAATAAGAAGTGCTTGCTGATCCCAAAACATTGTTAGTGTTGATTTATAATAAAGGGATAATGTTCAAAGTAATCGCGTAATGGAGTATTTTACTGATCATGTCTTTCATACTATAAAAGGGAATTTAAAATAATATGTGAAAAAAATTAAAAACACAATAAAAACGTGAAACGTAATAAAAAGTATATGAAAAAAGTTACTTAAGTGCAGAGCTTATTCTAATCGCTATATAAGCTAGTAGTTACTTAACTAATAGCTTACATCGATCAGAAGTCTACTGGTTCCCGAGTTTTTCAAGCCATCGTCCCAATCTACCAATTCTAAAAATTCTGAATACTTCTTTGGCAAAATGTTTGATAGAGCTGGTCAACTTGACCATTTTGCACATCAAGATTACTGGTTTATGGAATAAAGATAGCAAAAACACAATCTAATAAATTATCTATTGACTGGTCCATAATAAAGGGATTCTTTACTTCTTTCAAAACTCTCTCAGAGAGCAGATACTTGCCCGGCTGCGCAAAAGCTTTTAAAAGTCTTGATTTGCTTCAAAAAATCCTTTATTGTTATCGATAATTACAAATTTAAACACATACAAGTCAGAAATGATAATAAGGGAATAAAAAAAACAAAGGTACGAAAATATAAAAACAAAGTCGTTCACAAATATCGTAAAACATCGAGACAAATGACAAAATATTATCCATCTTTTAGACTAAAACAGATTATATCAAACAAATATCTTTAAAAGGTAATTCTAATTTAATAATATTTTTTTTAAATCACGCGATGGCGAATTTAAGTTTCGATTTGCTTCATTCTCTTTTGAAACCTCGTTTATGTCTAACCTAAATACGAATAAATATGATTTTTCAAATATATACAAGAAATATGCTAACAAATATGGCGTGTCGATTAAATATGTTTACACGTCTTACTATTGCGACAAAGAGTGCAAAAAAGAAAGAAGAAAAAAAAAGACAAAACAATAATGCTAAAACATAAAGCAAATCTGTAATCTAAAAGGTGCGAATTATAGAAAGGTAAATAAATAAAAAAAAATAATAAAACGCAATTACACCTAATTACATTTATATGTGACATAATTATAAGTGCTAACTAACCCATCATGCAACTTCAATAATATAATAATATACGTGTAAACATATCGAATGGACTGCCGACCTTATGTTCGAGAATATATTTTTAATCTGTGCCATTAGCTGCTGAGAGATCGCTGTACAATTTACCACGGCCTGTCCGACGAGAATTAAAAAAAATCACAACATAACAACGAATCGTACAGCCCTAGTGCGTGGAAGGTACGAAAAAAATTCATCGTTTCTCGAGCACCGCACGTTTCTTTTTTTTTATCTTTTCAAACGAACCAACAGCACAACACCAAAAGACTAAATAGAAATCAACTCAGTGTCGACACGTGCTTAGGGTGGGGGGTACGCCGTGTGTCGGGTGTCGGGCAATTTGTTATCTGTGCCGGGGGTGTGGTAGTGCGGCCCACCTCCCGCCGAGGTATTTTTAGTCTGTGCCGAAGGTGTACAAGTGTGCCCCACCTTCGGAGGCGGGCGGCTGCGGCAGGTGCTGCGCCGCGGGCCCGTGCTCGCCGGCGAGCGGGAACTCCGCCCCTAGGGCTCCCGCGCCCACCGGCTTCATCAGGGTGTACATGTTGTCACCGCCTGTCGCGTTCACATCGCGTCACAACAACGCTCTTTGCAATGGCGTCCTAACAGTGTTTTCCCGCGCAAAATCTGACACATGTCAAGCGCGTCTTTGTTGACATTGCTTAGCTCTTTTTTTTTCCAGAAAAAATTCAACCGACCAGCGCTTGTGAGCAAGTGTTGCGTTTACTTGGTCGGGTCGTTTCAGGACCACAGATAAGAGAGTTCATTACTTCGATATGGACATATAGGATAAAAAATTTAATCTGTGGTCCATTTATGCTTTCCTCTCACATCGAAATAGTTTAACACGACATTTATGGTTACAATGCCGCACAATCAGAAGTCATAAAACCTATCAAGTCTGTCAGACTTTTTAAATCCTCGATTGCTACACTACACGCGAGAGCCTGATTTTGAATATCTTTTCAGCCTGTGTCTAATCACTGTCGATTTTTATTTAGTCTTTGGTCAACGCAACGAATTCTGTCGTCTTTGAGACGTGAAGACCCCGCGACGTCATCGTTTAGCTTAACGCAGAATACAGAGACTAGAAGTTCCCTAAATCTCCTCTCCATCCACGCGATTAAATCACTAGTTCTAGATAAAATATCTCTTCTAGTTTTATGACTTCCAACTGGGAGCGGTGGTTAACTGAGCCACTTGAGACTCGCCAACTAGAAGTAACGATCCGAAAAGACGGAGAAAGAACGATAGCTGCGTCATCATCATCAACATCTTGACCGTTGCAAGCGTCACCTAATTTAACGTAATTTTTTTTCTCAGCTTTTTTCTCTTTTCTCAACTATATATGCTCTATGTTCTCAATAAACTCGACAATTTCACCCGTAATTCCCTTCCGTGCAATTTGTTGTCATTAAAATGTTATACACTATCGATATGTACACTGCACTAACGGCCAGTATTATACACGTAATGTTTAAACAATATATTAAAACAAACTAAAACTTGAATATTTGTTTTTAGTGTCTCGTAGATGATAATAAAATTTTTACGAAAATATAATATTTACGTAATAAAACTAAAACAGACATTATCTGTAATAAATATTACCGATTATTACAAGTAGTATTTACAAAATCATCGATTCCAAATTCTAATAACCGGGACGCGTTTTCTTCTTCTACGTGAAACGTTACAACGGCCAACGAAATTTAAAACCGACCATAGACTAAGCATATGATCGACGTGATCCCAAACAGACCATAGAGAAAAGAAAGCTCGAATCCGCGTCTAGTTGGTACGTCATCTCAAGCTCTATGTTTGACAAATTAAAAGAAAAAAAATAATATTCGCTTAAATTAAACATAGGGATAGAACGTAAAAAGCACAGTAGTGACCCCAAGCGCGTACGAAACAAGGTTAAGCGAGAATGAAGCAAAAAACCAAAGGAAAAGAAAAAATGGAACTTTTTTTTCTGTCGGAGTATGAGTGAAAGGTCTTCGAGTGATACAGTGAAGGAGTATATTACAAACTTGCATCCTTAAACATTGCCGTTGAATATTTTCTAGCTTGTTCTATCTCTTTGTCTATGGATAATCGGTTAAGTTTTAATTCGACCGAGCTTGTCAGTATCGTGAGATATGACTAAACTCGTAGGTGATACATACGAGTTATTTAGAAGGAAATATCTCTTCAATTTATTCAATTTATGGATTAATTTCCCAACATTTGATACGGTACATGCCGAATGAAATAACCAAAGCCTCTAAAAGGCATTAGAAATTATCGACATTGTTAGATTCTTATACACTTGCCACAGGAGTGAGTTTACAAATACCGGTTATTTACAAAATAAAATGCAATAATTTCATTAGTCTTTTGTTCATTGAAATGCGCTGTCGATTCAAAGCTATAGCAGAATTTCGAATTTAATGTCGAATAAAAATCATCGATATTATAATCGCGACAAAGAGCGCATCACTATCAGTGAGGCCGGTTGTGGCGCAAGGTTGTGAATGTTAAATAAAATAGCCGGCGTATGTCAATAAAGAGTATATTTAAAGTACATCATATCATTTCACATTGAACCTCCACGGTGCAGTATCGAGCGAGCGCTGCCAAGCGATTGTCGACCTTATTCGCATTTAGAGATGCAAGTTTGATACACAGCTGTTTCGCAACGCGACTATAGATAGTGAACAAGTTAAATACCTGAGCGTATTAGTGATGTTACACCTGCGAAATTCTGAATGACAACAATTATATAGGACGGACTAGTGTTACGGCCAACTTGTTAGTTTGATGGTGTTAAACGATATACAAAGAACAGAAGGGAACATAGTGAGAGACGGAACACGTGGTAATCGTACGCACTTCAAATACAAATGTAATAAATATAAAAAAAATTACGATACGCTAAACGGATAATAAAAGCGAAGGAAGTAACTAAATCAGTGTACGGCAACACCGAAACACCGCCTATTCATCGTAAAATTTCCACGGTCCCATCTAGTCACTGCGAGTATCGACGGTTACCGATTTTTCGACACTTCGGGGCCCTTCCAGCACGGTAAGTACACATTTACACTGGAAAGGCCCTCCGAGGCCTGTACGATCACATTTGAATTGCGAACAAACGCTCGGATACTGGACGTAGAGAAGAGTAAAAACCGGTGACCGTCGCGCCCTCTATCGCCCCCGCATTCCCCCCGCGCACCGTTCTCACTCACCCGAGTTGGAGGAGTCCTGGGGGCTGGGCATTATCGGCGTGGGGGGCCCCGGCGGCCCGTTGGAGCCGGGCGGGGCTCCGTAAGCGCCCGGGGAGCCCCCGCTGTAGTTCAGCGGCGCGGCGCCTCCGCCCCCGCCCCCGCCGGACCACGCTCCACGCGGGCCCATACCCATTGGCGGCATACCTGGTCAGTTTCACGTTTAGACGGTGAATCGCGTCACGACCGGTGGTAGGTTGCCGTCCGTTAATTTACCAGACTAAATTTAGGCCCCTTGGAAAAAACTGACCCTGCCCTCCTCTCGCCCTTATCCCTCTTATCTAGATGGGGTCGCCACATGTAACCTTCTAGTGGTCAGCAACGCCTCTGCAACCCAACCCGTCAGTTATTGTAGATGTACATAAGCGGTGGTAATCACTTAACATCAGGTGAAACGCCTACTCGCTTGCAAATTTTCACATAAAAATACAATTTTTTCATGTTGTTAAAGTTACCGGCTCGGTTTTATTTGACCGGCCGCCTTGGTCTGCCTTTGATTTACGTTTTGGTCGCAAATACTTCGAGTTCATGTCTCAATACAAACTGAAAACTTTTTTAAAACCAGACTAAAGGAGATAAAAATAGTTCAATGTTATAATCAATTGAGAAGAAAAAACATACTTTTTTACACAATGTCCACTACACTTCTCCAAAATTTGTAGGTTAAGCTTTTTTTAAATGCAACTCACACTTTTGAAGGTATATGTAAACTAATTCGGGTGTAAGTACCTTATCCCCTCTTTAAAGTTACCGACTTGTATACCGTAATAGTGCGTTTCCTGTTTCACGGCCTCCCAACGCGCCGTAAAACGTCTCGTATTTATGGCACGCCACGAGACTCGCCACCGTCTATACAAGGACAAAATAAACCCTAGTACTGAGTACAGAGCGTACGCAGAACCTCCTCTTTGAAGCCGGTTGAAAATCGCTTGGTCCTTCGAGACGGATATACCGAAATCACTTGGTCCCTCGAGCCGGATATGCTGTTCAAGGGGGAAGAGTTGCAGCGGGTGCTCCACGTACCTGGTCCCTGGGGCGGAGGCCCGCGCATGCCGGCCGCGTAGGCGCCGGGGCTCATCGGGCCGCAGCCGGGCCGCGGCGGCGTCATGCGCGGCCCGCCCAGCAGCCCGGCGCCGCCGCCCCCGCCGCGCTCCAGCGAGTTGCCCATCATGCCCTGGCCTGAGGAGAGGGAAAGGGCGCGTCAGGTGCGTCATGGTGCACAGTGACTCCTCTATGCTACAACTAGCGTTTACGGTGTAACTATTATAGTGCCGCGAGATTGACTACAGCTTTGGCTGTTGCACGAATGGGCAGATCCCTCCGGGTAAGTATAGCGACACGGGTACAGAAGACCGACGTGATGTTGAAATTTTATACTTCTGTGTTTCGCCTGGTGTTGTTCCTCATTATACACTTTTATACAGTTGCATGCAAAATCTATTCATGAAACATATTCTAGCTAGTGTGTTATTTACTTACTTTTGTTTCTATTTTTTTTAATTTTGAAAAAGAGCAACTGTTGAGTTTCTTGCCGGTCTCTTCTCAACAGAAACTGCTTTCGGAACCGGTGGTACCTTACGAACCTATACGTATAATTTTTTATGTAAAATTTGACGATTCATAAGAACGCGCAAGCGTCTATTTGAATAAAGAATTTTGATTGATTGATTGATTGATAAATTAAAAAATTTTAACAAAGACCTCATAGAATGATGACTAGGTTTAGGAGGTGAAAACAAGACGGAATACAAACCGGGTGGTCCATTGAAATCATTGCCCATTCCCATCCTCACTCCTGAGCGCGGCCCACCGGAGTACCAAGGTCCTATGAATGGCTGTCCAGTACCCATCAGTTGTGCTTGGGGACCGTGTGGTGAAGGTTGAGAGCCAGGGTGGGGCGCCGGCGGTGACGGCCGGAGCGAGGAGTTGGGGAAGAAACCGGGCGGCATGCCACCACCGCCCATGCCTGGAATAGTTTGAACAGCATCCATTTTTTATATCCATTTGTTGTGCACTGGGAGAGAATGCCTAAAGGCATTAAGTTCGCCCTTTGTAATCCTTGATTAAGGTAATTGCAATAAAGTATAAATAAATAAATAAAATAAAATAATAATCGAATTATGAGTTGTCCCAAACTATCAATAACATTTTTTTTTGTTTTTAAAACACTGCCCTAATTGTAGGATGACATAATCCCATGCTTTACAAACATAAATTTCACGTCGATAAACACCCAGCTCTAAAACTCTGTGGGCCACACAAAGAGTCGTCCAGTTTGGGAGGAATAGAACCCATCATCCCCGGTTTTGAAGCCAACACCTCGGCAACTGTGACACGGAGTCATAAAAAATTTACCCATCCATATAACCATTTGTATTAGTTTGGTAGAAGCCAATGTAAGATGAAACCATAATTTTATATAGAAACTTTCATTAATGATTTACTAATTTTTTATTTTATTGAAAATATGATGTATTTCTGTTACCACTATAACAACTAATACTAAAAAATAATTAATTGAGGCTCCCATACAGTATATATTTTTTCTCATTTTTAAAGACACTTTTTTTTAAATCACAATAAATGTTTCTATCGAGTATTTTAAATATAAATCTAGGCTATAATCATATATCATTTTAAACCAGGAAATTATTACTGGCTAAAAAAATACAAAAATTGTTTCAGTACACCAGGAAAATATTCAGAATGTCATATCAACTAAAAGAGGCCCACTATAAAATATATATATATATATATATATATATATATGTGTGTCATGAAGATAAAAAAATTGGGACTATTTCAATAGATAAGCAATGGAGCATTGAAAACTGAAATTTAACCACAAAAATCACTCCATCGCATTCTAACCACAAAACGAAGCAATTGATAATGCAAATTGTAGGTGGAGTGCAAAAACGGTCATAATAATATTTGCATCATACAAACATTTGAAAATTACCTTGAAACCCAAGATAATTTTGAAATTATCATGCATTTAAATTGCATATTTTCTATTTTGTGCAAATTGAATAAACCTATTTTGATACTTCCATATACTTTAGGGCAAGGATGAGCAACGCGCGGCCCGCGGGCCGCTTGCGGCCCCTTAAACATGGTTATGCGGCTCGCCAAGCATTTCTAAAATTGAATTTATTTTATCGAATTTCTCCCATCAATATATTGTTATAAAATTAATTATAATAAAATGGTAGTATATACTGAACCGAAAAATTTTTTGTTCGTTTTTCTGTTCTTTTCTTTTTTGTTTTTACCTTGCATTAAAATTTGTATAAAAAGTTCTATTTTTTTTTAATTTTACATTTTTTTTATTCTAATATTTATTATAAATAAAGTTTCGTAAATTATTATGTGCGGCTCGCCAAAAAATTAGAATTTTAAATTGGCCCCTGTTTAAAAAGGTTGCTCACCCCTGCTTAAGGGGATATTTTTTAATTAATTTTTGTTTTGTTTTTCAACTGTTGATTTATTGTTTTCACAGAAAAATGTTAATTACACACATATTCAAGTATTTTTTATTTAAATTTTTATTATAAAATATATTGCGTGGTGGGTTACATTGGAATTCCAAACTTAAATATTAAATTCTAATAAAAACCAAATTTACCGGATTCATAAAATATTATTAAAAAGCACATGTATTGTTTTATATTTTAAAAAAAAAACACCGCTTACACTTTTTCTGGGCCAGCTCACTAGATGGCGCTTTTGTCAAATTTTCAAAGTGATATGAAACTGTGTAAAAAAATATTTTCCATGTTCTATTCTATCTATTAAAATATGATGCTTGAATAAAAAGAACAGCAGTCCATGATCCAGAAGTAGTTTCGGGATTTATTTTGTTACAAAAAGCAAGTATTTAATAAGCCATTATCAACTAAATTTCATGTCGAACTTTTACCCATCTTATGGGTACTTGTATAGCTTCATTACTTTGCCCATAAAAGGAAAGAGTAAAAAAGCAGTTAGTTTTTTCTGCACTTTATGACTTAAGGTTTCCATGTCTTACCGGACTCATTCTTTTTGAAACATTTCCCTTACTATAGAATAACATATCCTGTGTTTTAAGGATGTTTTACAAAAATAAACATCACACTGACATACATCTGGAACGGAAAAAATTATTTGTGGGTCACACAAATAGTTGTATTGTGTGGAAATGGAACCCACAACCTCCAGCGAAGGACATACCATGGCAACTGCGCCACAAACATAATTCCCACTTTGAGATTTATATAAGAGATGCAATCCTAATCGCCATACATTAAGGCAATTATACTGAGCTTTAAAAAGATCACTATCAGATCAATTGCTAGTAACTTTAAAAAAAAATTACTGCCACGGGAGCTGTGTATGAGTGCTCAGTTTTAATTGAATATACTAGCAACTAATAAAATAAACTGAGCAAACTAATTTCAAATCCTGGTGCTGACAGCAATTAAATTGTTCATTATTAATAAAGTATTGATTTATCATATGCTTCTCGATTTTTAAAACATTGTGAGATATGATGATAACAGGAGCCTAAGTATTTTCCAAATAATAATAAATAATCTTTCGCAGTCTGCCAAGCAGTCGTGGAGTTGCATGATGGATCATATCCTAACGGAGAACATTATAGGATAGTCCAACAGTTAGATATAGTTTAAAGTATCAAGTTTTTGAGTGGTGACATGGCTGTACACACTTTTGGAAACAAAACACTTTTAAATAATATTGATGAAAATGAGTAACTAATGGGCCAAAATCACTGAGATATGAACACCACCTGACTAGTGACCATATTTCAACCTCCAAATGTTAAAACCATCACAGATAGTAGACACAGTAAGTTTTATGAACTAAAAATAATAGAAATAATAACAGGATATTGGCAAATTATGCAATGAACTGTCCATCATGAGTTTTTATGATCTTGTTTAGTCTTAGCCTTTCATATTAGTTTTAAAACATGTTTTTAGAGTTGCTGTTCCAGATTACAAGTTTAAGCATGCTGTGGTTTACTATAAAATTTAATATGTTAGCTGGGTTGTGTACAAAATAAATAAATCTATTGTACTCTGCAAATCTTGTATCTACGTTGGTTATTAGATAAACGGGGATTAGGTTAATAATTAATAAATTAATAAACCACTATTCGAGATATTCAAACATCTCTAATATGGTCTTTTTTTCTTCATCCTACTGCTTAGTACTAATAAAAACAAACTATATAAAATATACAGGAAAAAACATTACTGTTGCTACATATCCTTATCCTAACTCTACATGATGGACATGATGCACTCCAGGGCATGGTTACCAAGGTATTGCCTTTAATGTTGGGGATCATGGGTTCAACTCCTACACGTACCAACTGTTTGCATGAACCATACATAATTATCCCAGATCTGTGCGTTTGTTTGCACAAAAATTATGTTTATAAAATGCTCTTGCAAAAAAACTAACTAGAATAGGATCTGCAACTTCATTGCTTAACCTTTTGCTCTAAGCAAATACTAAAACTGCAATTATCAAAACAGTTGTTAAACTATCCAACTGATAATATTATTATAAATATTGTTGGATATAAATTTGTCAACAAGTCTGCTTCACATTTATAATTGCGTTACATTTAAACTAAACAAAAAAGTAAAATTCACAGCCAGAGACCATTTTACAGTTTATTCAATGGTGCTCACATGTTACAACGTAAACAATAGTGCTAAAATAGCACTCTGCCTCGCCATTATCGAGATTACATTGTATAGGACCGCGTTGTAAGAGACCAAATCGATGACTATTTACATACAGAGATAAGAGAAGTTGTGGCCTAGAAACTGCGTCTGTAGCGTTTTCATGCGCCACCACCAAAATAATGAGCAAATGTGTACAACGTACCGTCATTTGGAGGCGCCGGGCCGGCGTTGTGACCGATTCCGTTCACTCCGTATCCGGAATTGACAAAACCATAGTCGTGGAAGGCCTTGGCTTCGGACGAGTGTTCACACGAGTCCCGCCTCTCGGGCGCCGCGCAATAAAGATCCCAGAACACGCACCACCACGAATGCAAGAACCCGGGGGGCTCGCCGAGCGTTATATTCTTCTCCCATCGTATTTCAGAAAGGAAAGTCTGTGCCGCTTTCTGGGCGCCGACGTGTAGTAAGTACTCGTACACATAAAGTGCCAACTTCTCGCGAGCTTGAGCGTCCGAAGGCACTGTAGAGCCTTTGCCCTTGGCATACATATCGACTGGAAGCCGACGTTTATGTTGGAATTGTTTATTATTTACATTAACGCTTTATATCAATAAATTCAACTTCACAAAACGTCATTGATCGATGGCGACATTTGGCGTCTGTGGCATAGAGAAGTCGAATTGTTCTCCTCTGCTAATAGCCTTGAACTGTCATAAAACTGTGTCTATAGTTAGGGAACAGATTAATAAAATATTCGAATGAACTTAAATATTCAATTATTTCTTTTTTTAAGGAATTTTTTATCTAAATAACACATTTTCATGGAAGTTATTTAGATAGAGCTTCGAATTTACTTTAATTTTTCATGTTTATTATTTTAATCATTAATTTAAAATTAAAACAAAACAACTTATATCATCATTACCAATTAAAAACTTTACTTTGAAATCTAATAGTATCCTAATTTGCAAAATGATTTGCTCATAGACAATTTTTTTTACAAATTGTAGTAAAATACTTCCACTGAAAACACACAAAAGTCTAACAATGTCTTTTTTTGTCTATTCCCTCTTCCTTTTCGTGCGGCCGTGTCACCGCGTGGTTCACTGCCGCGTTTCTAAAAAGAAACAACCAAAATGGCTATCAGACCTGTGTACAGGCCTACAATTGTAAAGAAAAGAACCAAACGGTTTATTAGACATCAATCTGATCGCTATGACAAACTTAAGCGAAACTGGCGCAAACCTAGAGGTAAGTTTCGGTAAACCTAAACATGCCGCTCACGTTTTTTTTATAACCATTCATATCCTCACAAATTTTTGTTAACATATAAATGATTCCTTACTTATTCCTCATAATGTAAATCACGCTATGATCAATCAAAAAAAAATATTTAGACTAAGGTTATTTCAGCAGTAAATGTGTAAAAGTGAGGTTATTCTCATGAAACTGTTTACTATTTATAACAATGCAGGGGCACTCTGTGTTATTCATTCTCGATATGATACTCACAATTTGTTACCTTGCTATAAAAAAATCACCAGACCACTATTCCTGATTACAGACACTTTGTGATTTGGTCATATTGGTGATAACATTTCTACAAAACTACCAACTTTGTTAAACCACTTTAGCAACTTAAAAATAATTTAATGTCTCGATATACTTACGTCGGCAGCCCATGAGTTTATTTCAGCTCAGAATAATTACCTCTTGTGTCATGTCAATAAATGGGAAATATCATTTTAAATGGGCACACTATCAATATTAATTTGCTGTCTTTTTCTGACTAATAGAAGATTACATAGTCTTATTAACAACAGTTATGAAATAAATGTCCAATTACCACCCAAAAAGGCAATTAAGAAGGTTATAATGTGGTTTTGCCGAGTATTTATTTTATGTCTATCCTACATTACTTTAAAAATATTCTCACAACTCTTCAGGTATTGACAACAGAGTACGCAGGCGTTTCAAGGGACAGTACCTGATGCCCAGTATTGGCTATGGTTCAAATAAGAAGACCCGTCACATGCTACCCAATGGCTTCCGTAAGGTAAAGAAATAGTCTATTTCATCTAACTACTATTTACCATCAATGCAATTTCTAAACAAAGTTTTGTTTTAAGCTGACCTGCATTACTATAATCTTATTTACACATAACTTACTGTTTCTGATACGGCATGGAATAATAGTTAGATGCCAAAGGTGATACTTCTTTGTAATACCTTTAAGAAAACCTTTTTTGCCTTTAAAAAAAATTACCATTATATTTCTGTTTAAAAATAAATTGGAGAGTCAAATATTTTTATCAAGAAAACAATGGCAAACTAAAGGAATTCAATGTAGAATTGACTTTAGATTGTTTTATAAGACTTTGTGAGGGACTTAATAAATAACAGAAATTTACAATTTGTTTAAAAATGGCATTTTTGATTGGCTAACAGGTACTTGACATACATAAGCAAACAAACAAAGTATACTTCAGCAAGGTCACTCTGTGTTATTCATTTTCGATATGATATCCACAATTTGTTCCCTTGCTATATAATGTCTATCAAAACCTATTCCTAACAGCACTTTTGCTGGTTTGGTCATAATGATAGAGACAAGTCTTTAATTTTAAAGGCCTTTGTATGCAACTTTTTTTTTGTTAGAAACTGGCTTTGTTAATTGGACATGTGATGTCACACACAATTTGGTATCTGACTAATAATTTTACAATCAAAAGAAACATACCATAGGGTCATTCATAAACCCTTAGGTGGGGACAAAGACAAAGGTATCCTGTAGTTCACCTAATGTTTAAGGTCTGCCTGAATAATGTGGTGAGCTTGTCAGCCTGCACAAGATATGTGTAGTGACCTTGACAAATAGGGATCTGGAAAAGGAAAAAAACAGGTGGAATTGAAATTGTAAGGGTCCGAATAAAGTACACTCATTGATGCATTGAGAATTTTATATACCTATCTAATTAGATTGCTTTGCTTGTAGAATTATAGATGGCCAATGCGAATCTGATTGGATTATATATTAGATCTGGCAATATATGGTATCTAAGCACCCAGAACCTACATACGCGTTACATGTAGATGAATGAATGTGCTAGAGGCATGTTTGGGTCATAGAAAGCAGCAGTACATAATCTCTGCAGACTTGCTTTGAATGGAGCATGTCAGTTTGTCTGATTATTAGGTAGGGGCACCTATTAAGGGCGATATAATGATAGCATCCATCTGGCATTAAATTAAAATCAACTTTTATAAAGTGGGGACTTCTTTTAAACAAGCTAAACAAATTATGCCATTGTGGTAATAAAAAGACCCATTACATCCGGTATTTGGGTGTGGTTGCAATAGCATAAAGATATTTATTCCGTTACCTTCATCTACACACTTGAAGATATCTCTATAATAATACAAAACATTCAACAGAGTAGGCATCCGTTCGTGTCATCTACAACTTTAATTTTAATAATATAATCTTAAATTGCCTTTACTTTATAAATCGAACAATCGATCCAATCATTTTTTGTTCTTTTTTCCATTCACTTCTCTCTTGTCGTTCATCATAGAAGCGTCGATTTTATCTACAATATTATGCTAGCTTTAATCTTATACCCTTATCAAACAAAAACAAAATACAGTTAGAAGTTTTTCCACCCGGAAGCATCTCGTCGGGAAGACCAGGTAGTCCCAACTGTATACTAAAGCTAAAGACAGACCCGGTCCTCCTCAGGTGCTCGTCCACAACGTCCGTGAGCTGGAGATCCTCATGATGCAGAACCGCAAGTTCTGCGCCGAGATCGCGCACGGCGTCTCCTCCAAGAAGCGCAAGACCATAGTGGAGCGCGCTCAACAGCTCAGCATCAGGGTCACCAACGCAGCAGCCCGCCTCAGGAGCCAGGAGAACGAATAAGCTTAAGATTAATAAAGTTATACAAAACAGCTCGCCTTTTTCTCAACCGTCTTCAACCGACTCCGAATAAGGAGGCGGTTCAATTCGATTGTTCTTAACCGGGGACGGCAGCTAAGAAACTGGAAGCACGAGTGGACCAATTATGGTGCAGTTTTTTTTTTGTTTGGGAGCTTTAAAATTTGTAAAGTACGAAAAGTTCGTCGCCGCTGTGGAAATCGAACCCACATTTTCGGGATTCGCACCCGGACGCTTTAGCCACTACGCTAAACGGCTGATTGCACACTGACGAAAATCTTAACGACTTTTATCTACATTCTTTTTTAGCATTTGAAGCAAAACTTGGCGCTTCAAATTTCGTTTTACAACTATAATTCGAACGAGAGATGTCGCTCGAGAATCTCGGCACAGATTAAACATTAAAATATGTAGAAAAAGTGTTTGAAAGCTGACGAGATCTATATAGCTTAAATTGATTTTTTTTTATGGTTCCGTACCCAAAGGGTAAAACGGCGGGACAATTAGTAAAACTTATCAGTTGAAATTTTCACAGACTTATTTCTGTTGCCGCTATAACAACAAATACTAAAAAAACAATAAAAAATATTTAATTGGGGCTCCCATACAACAGACATGATTTTTTTAAAAAAAACGAAATGTATTAAATTTACAACTCCCAACGTAAAAAGTGTAAAAACTGATGTACTTTTACATGGGGAAGCGTTAGACCTCATTGACTCGACTGTATTTCTTGGTATAACCGTAGATGCCAAATTAATAATAATAATAACCGTAGATGCCAAATTAATAATAATAGTAATTATTATTGGGGGGATATTCATTTGTTTTCTCGTCTGCTTGGGATTATAAATAAAAATAAAGATATAGATATATATTGCATATATAAAATAAATATTATGGATAAAAATAAACATATATGTAAATAAATATTTTATATAATACATATATAAATAGGACCCAACCAGACGGAAGCCCTCGGCAGGGGAGACCAAACGGCCGAGGGTTAGGGCGAAAGGGAGAGAAACCGGCGGACGATGCGGGCGGTATCGAGGAGCACCGCCTTCTGCATTTGAGCCTGGAGCGATCCGTCCCGGAGTCCCAGTCGCCTCAGATGTTTAGAGAGGCTGACTGGGATCAACCCATTCGCAGACACGACTATCGGGATAATTTCGGTCGGCACACCACCCCACATGTCGGTCACCTCGTGAGCCAGGTCCAGATACTTCGTCTTCTTATCTGTTTCGGCTTTCACGAGGTTCTCGTCATATGGAATGGTAATGTCGACCAAAAATACCCGCGACTGTGCCCGGTCCATCAACACGATATCAGGTTTGTTCGCGACAATTGTCCTGTCCGTGATGATGGACCGGTCCCAATAGAGCCTGGCGCGGTCATTTTCGAGCACGGCCTCCGGAGAGTACTTATAATACGGCAGTTTCCGTTCCACGAGGCCGTATTTCAGAGCGAGCTCCTGGTGTAGGATTCTGGCTACTAGGTTGTGTCTATGCAGATACTCAGAGTTAGAAAGCATGGAACAACCGGAGATAACATGCCGAAGCGACTCCCCGGGATGGCGACAAGCTCGACAGATGTCGACGGTGCCATCCTTTA